ATAGATAGATAGATAGATAGATAGATAGATAGATAGATAGATAGATAAATGTTAGTTCCTTTATTGTGGAATTGGTGGTGTTACTGTTATTCACTGCTTGCAATAAGACACCTGATTCTCCGGCTGTACTACAGAGCAATAGTAATAATAATTGTATGGTATGACATAGAAACAGAATGGTGGATCAATGGAACCAAACAGAAGATGCAGAAATAAATCCACACACCTACAGGTACTTTATTTTTGACAAAGAAGTCAAAACCATATAATGGAAAGAGGACAGAATCTTTAACAAATGGTGCTGGGCTAACTGGATGTCTACATGTAGAAAAAGTGCAAGTCGATCCATATTTATCACTCTGCAGAAAACTAAAGTCCAAGTGGATCAAAGACCTCAACATAAAACCAGACATACTAAATTAATTAGAAAAATAAGTGGGGATGAGCCTAGAACTCATTGGCACAGGAGACAACTTCCTGAACAGTACACAACAGCATTTTTCTTTCTATGTCTGTAAAGGATTGTGTTGGCAATTTGATGGGAATTGCAATAAATCTGTAGATTGCTTTTGGTAAGATGGCCATTTTTACTATGTTAATCCTGCCAAGCCATGAGCATGGGAGAGCTTTCCATCTTCTCATATCTTCTTCTAATTCTTTATTCAGTGACATGAAATTTTTTTCATACATGTCTTTGACTTGCTTGGTTAGGGTTACACCAAGGTACTTTTTGTCATTTGTGGCTATTATGAAGGGTGTTGTTTCCCTAATTTATTTCTCAGCCCTTTTGTCTTTTGTATACAGGAGTGCTACTGATATTTTTTTGAGTTAATTTTGTATCTGGCCACTTTGCTGAAGGTGTTTACCAGCTGTAGGAGTTCTCTGGTAGAGTTTTTGGGGTCACTCATGTATACTATCATATCATCTGCAAATAGTGATAATTTGACTTCTTTTCCAGTCTGTATCTCCTTGATCTCCTTCAACTGTCTTATTGCTCTAGCAAGGACTTCCAGCACCATGTTGAAAAGATATGGAGAGAGTGGGCAGCCTTGTCTTGTCCCTGATTTTAGTGGGATTGCTTTATGTTTCTCTCCGTTTAGTTTGATGTTGGCTATAGGCTTGCTGTATATCGCCTTTACTATGTTTAGATATGTGCCTTGTATCCCTGATCTCTCCAATACTTTAAACATGAATGGATGTTGGATTTTGTCAAATGCTTTTTCAGCATCTAGGGAGATTATCATGTGGTTTTTTTTCTTTCAGGTTGTTAATATGGTGAATCACATTGATGGATTTCCGTATATTGAACCACCCCTGCATACCTGGGATGAAGCCTACTTGGTCATAGTGGATAATATCTTTGATTTTCAAATTTGGTGGCATATAGACTTTTGAAGTAAGTCCTAATGATTGTTTGGATTTCTTCAGTGTCTGTAGTTATGTCCCTCTTTTCATTTCTGATTTTGTTGATTTGGGTGTAAAGTTCTGTAAATGTCTGTTAGGTCAATTTGATTCATGACCTCTGTCAGAGACATTGTTTCTTTGTTTAATTTCTGTTTTGTTGACCTGTCCTTTGTTGAGAGTGGGGTGTTGAAGTCTCCCACTATTAATGTGTGGGGATCTAAATGTGGTGAAATTTTATCAATGTTTCTTTTACAACTGTAGGTACTCTTGTATTTGGGGTATAGATGTTCAGGATTGTGATGTCTTCTTGGTGGAATTTTCCCTTGATGAGTATGAAGTGTCCTTCCCCATATCTTTTTATTAATTTTGGTTGAAAGTCTATATTATCAGATATTAGAATGGCTACTCCAGCTTGTTTCTTGGGTCCATTTGCTTGGAAAGTCGTCTTCCAACCTTTTACCCTCAGGTAATGTCTATCTTTGTGCCTTAGGTGTGTTTCTTGTATGCAACAGATTGCTGGATTTTGTTTATGTATCCATTCTGTTAATCTGTGTCTTTTATTGGAGAATTGAGTCCATTGATGTTGAGAGAGATTAATGACCAGTGGCTGTTAGATCCTTTGATTTTTATGTTGGCTGTGGTCATAAGGTTGTGTGCTTGGTTGCTTTTTGTTTTACTGTAGTAAGGTTAATTATTTCTCATGTTTTCATGACAGAAGCTAATTTTCTTGGGTTGTGTTTTTCCTTCCAGTGTCTTTTGTAATGCTGGATTTGTGTGTAGGTATTGTTGAAATTTGTTTTGTCATTGAATATCTTGTTTTCTTTGACTATGAGGACTGAGAGTTTTGCAGGGTATAGTAGCCTGGGTTGACATCTGTGTTCTCTTAGGGTCTGCG